GATAGATAGATAGATAGATAGATAGATAGATAGATAGATAGATAGATGGATAGATGATAGGTCTAGATCTGTATCTGTTTATACCACTTGCAAGGGGGTGTAATGAGAGACAAGGCATGAAGGTATGTATGCATCACAGACCTGCATAGAAGGACTTCGTGAGCCACTCTCCCATGATCTGTGTCCAGCTCCAAAAGCCATGGCCTCAACAGCGCTAATGCAGCTATTTCAGAGCCCTTCCAAAGGATTTGTAGGAAGAGCTTAATAAAATACGTGATCCATCCTGGTATTTATACAGTGATTTCACTGTCATGGTATCTCTGTATCTGTCATAAAGGAGAGCTGTTTTGAGTGTGTTAATGTGATAAAAGTGTGATGTATAGTGAGTTCAACATATGTGCTCACCTTGTGCCATTTGATTCAGAACATGCTAGATCTGGCCACTGCAGATTTATTATCTTTTTCTCCTTTCTGCCTGTAATGAATTAATTTTTTTTAAAAGCAGAGAGCAAAAATCTGACCAAAATTAATTTTTTATTGTTGTTTTGTTATGTTTTACAGCTAATACTATTAGGTCTAATAACTGAAGCCACTTATGCATGGAAAGATTTGCAAGAGAGTGGCTAAATCCAGTACAAGTGGTAGAATCTCCTATGACACATGAAGTATGAAAGTAAAATTAGAACAGAGGCATTAACATCAGCAAAGGAATAAAAATGTTGCTACATTGTCGCAGTCAGGGTCATAAACTAATGCCATGGTGAGAAATCAGTCAGATAATAAAGTAGGAAAATGATTACAGTTTAAAACCAGGCAGCAAATTCTTGACATTTGTATGTTTGTGACTGACAGTACCTGCCTGCTCTGAATAAGGGTACAAACTTCACACTTATCAGCTGCTGCGAGGATTTCTACTCCATCACTTGACCTCCACTGTAAATGCTCTGGTGATAAAGAGCCTGTCCTTCCTTTTCAACACTGGCATGAAGCACAAAACCATGCTGGAGAGCAATGCATCCGTCTAACACAGCAGAATCAATACCAAGAGTTGAGTAACATACTCATCAAAGCTGATGTCAATACTTCTCTGAGAGAAGATTATTTTAATAGCTTAGCTTGATTAAAAGTATGTTTCACAAGAAGTAGGTTTATAAATTGAAATAAGCAGAAATAATGCATGGAATGTCACATGCAAGAAACTTAGCTCATGTGTTATTAAAAAAAAAAAGTTATTATAATTTAGCAGTAACCAAAAACCAAATGGTTATTTACCAGATTCACTGAATGTAAGACTGAGTACTTGAAATGACTGAGAGCTTTCTCTGAAATAAATGACTATAGATGCACTTAGGAGCTGTAAACAGCTGGGATGTAATCTAAGCTCACCTGTAGCTCCATACACAGACACATATGCACTCTTTGTTCTCTAGGAATTCAGACGAGAAGTCTTATAAAAACTTTGTGGCACTTACCCGGGCTCCGTGCCCAGCTTTCCCGTATGTAGAGACAAGTGTAAGGGACCACATACCAGAGGGATTGACTTCGTGATTTGAGTTAACTCAGGAGAAACTCTGAGAAGTTACTACATTGCAAACTGAGGTAAAAAAGGAAAATGCAGCTTTCATTTTTACATGCCCTAGCAGCCAGGAGGGCCAACCATGTCCAGGGGGGCATCAGGCAAAACATCTCCAGTCGGTCAAGGGAGGGGATTGTCCCACTCTGCTCTGCACTGGTGCGGTCTCACCTTGGACATTGTGTGCAGTTTTGGGTGCCACAATACAAGAAAGATATTTGGCTATTAGAGAGTGTCCAAAGGAGAGCAATGAAGATGGTGAAGGGCCTAGGGCAGAAGCCGTATGAGGAGCAGCTGAGGGCACTTGGTCTGTTCAGCCTGGAGAAGAGGAGACTGAGGGGAAACCTCATCGCAGTTACAACTTCCTCGTGAAGGGAAGAGGAGGGGCAGGCATTGATCTCTTCTCTCTGGTGATCAGTGACAGAACCTGAGGGGATGTCCTGAAGTTGTGTCAGGGGAGGTTTGGGTTGGATATTAGAAAAAGGTTCTTCACGCAAAGAGTGGCTGGGCACTGGAACAGGTTTCCCAGGGAAGTGATCACAGCGCCAAGCCTGACAGAGTTCAAGAAGTGTTCGGACAATACTCTTGGGCACATGGTGTGACTCTTGGGGATGGTCCTGTGCAGGGCCAGGAGCTGGACTGAATGATCCTTGTGAGTCCCTTCCAGCTCGGCATATTCCATGATTTTGTGACTCAAAGCTCAGTTCAGATGAAAAACTAACAGCCAAAAGCTACTGCAACAGTTCAGAGCTTCTGTTAAACATTTGAAACACATCTTGTTAAAGGAAAAGACTAAATGATTAAATAGGCCTGTTTCATGTATATTGTTGTAGTGGCTTACAGTGGCCACAAAGAGGCTCTTGTCTCCCTTGGGGAGTGGAATGTGCCAACCTCATTTTCTTCTCTATCTCTTGCAAGAAATACTACAGGCTATATCCAATTGTCATATAATTTCTTATCTACAAACTTAAAAAATATGTGCAAAGATTTTGACCATGCTGAAAAAAAACCCAAAAAACAAAAGGTTTAACACCAGTGAATATGTGGAATAAAAGGACTTGTGGTGGCTGTCTGTGTTGGTATTTGTGCAGTGAATCATGATTGTAATCATGATTGAATCATGATTGTAAATATGTTTAGCTTAACACATATTTAATTTATTTTTCCAACACCAAAATCAACATTGCTTCCACTTTAAAAGCCAGAGATCTCACTCTGGTAGGGAAGAAAAAAAATAAATATCTCACAATGGAAGATTGTGTCCTATTCCAGTACATTTGGATTTTTTTAAAAGAAAACTGTTACTGTGTTGGAATTCAAGAAACAAATTGCAATAAAACTCTAGGAATACTATAACACACACTACCCCAGTGCGTGGTATCACACTGGACACAATGAAAAAAGGGAAATGTCATCTGTGATAACAGCAAAATTGAGACACTGCACCTTTTACACACAGTTATCACTGCAGAAGTGACACTTTCAGAGTCTGCCCAAACAGCGCACGCCTTGTAAATGCCAAAACAAGTCTGAAACACTCAGATAAGTAGAAGTGATGAGAAGCGATAAGAGGGTTTTTTTGGAGGACAGAGAAAACAAAACAGCTGGAAAAGATATCTCTAGCATGTATGAGGGTAAGTTTGTGTACTGCTGAGGGGATGTGCTGTGGGAAATGCAGTTCAATAGGTCGGAAAGCAGAGCCATTGGAGAGATACTTAGACACCGGGTTGATTGTAGCTAAAAGCTTTACCCGTATTTCATTAATTTTTTTTTTTTTTTTAAAGAGGGATGGGGGGGCAGGTGGAGAATCTTTTTGCCTTTTTTTTTTTCCCTCCCAGCTGTCCTTCCTAACTTGTGTCTTATTTCTAGCTCGCTGCAGCAATCGCAGACTGTTCCTGCCCCCGGGCACGCAGGAAGCCCCCAGGACACAGGTGGGGCTCCCGGGCCCGCAGTGAGGGGGTGCCGAGGTGTCCGCGCCTCCGTCCCGTCCCGGCGCCGCCTCCCGCCCGTGGGAAGGGTCGTGCGGCGGCGCGGGGTGTGCGCGGGGAGCACAGGAGCGCGGGGCGGGTTTGCGGCAGGCTGCGGGGGCCGGGGCTGCTGGTCCGTCTGCCCCCGCGCACACACACCTAGGAGGCGCGTCGGCTGCAGGGATCGGCGGGGCTGCGCCGGGCAGCCATGGGCCACCGGCCCCCCGAACCTCCCGAACCTGCCCCGGCGGGTGCCAGCACCAGCCCCTGGCCCCGAGGGAGCAGCGGCTCCGCCCGACTCTGCCCGCCCCGCCCGGGCGGAGCCGCCTCCGCCCCGCCGCGGGAGGAGGATGGGGCGGCGCGGTCGCCCCGCGCGGAGTTGCTGCCCCATGGCGGAGGTAAGGGCTCGGAGCGCGGGGGGCTGTCCCGGCCGGGCAGGCACCGGCACAGCAGCGGCGGGCGCGGCCCTGGCCCGGCCGCCTCGGCCGAGCGACGGGGGTGCGCACCGGGGCGGGCGGGCGGGCTGGCCGTCTGGGGGTGTTCGTGGGGGACGAGTTGTGGGGACGCGAAGAAGGACGGTTTTCTGAGCCAGACGCTTACCTTCCCCCCCCCCCCCACTCAAAAAAAAAAAAAAAAGGACAAAAGACGCACACCGCCGGAGGGGTGGCCCGTGCCCTCTCGCTGTCCCAGGCGGGGGTCCCGGACGGCGGGCAGCCCAAGCGGAGCCGTGCTGCGGAGCGATGCCGCGCGGCCTTGGCGAATGGAGTGACCGGCGGAGGCTCCCGGCACCGGAGCAGGGGCAGCCCCGCAGAGCTGCCCAGGCATACGCCTGGCCCCAGCGCCGCTGGCACCTGCCAGGCAGGGTTGCAAGGCCAGGACGGGCAGTTCTGCCTGGCATTTCCTTGGAAATCGTCTCTGTTTTCTTCATGTGGGCACAAAGGCTTCTCAAGAATATCGCGCGGCTGCAGAAATGCAGTGCATCCACAGTGCACGCTGCACCCCTCATCTTGGCACAGGGCACGTGTGTGTTTGTACTCGGATAACTACACTTGTCAGGAACATTGCTTACATCTTGGGGGACTTACTCTGCAGGGACTAACCTCCAGGCTGCTTTTATCGGCCCTCTATTATCAGTGCAGCATCTTGAAAAACACATGGGAGGCAGTAAGTACCCAGCAGTGCTGACCAGTGTCCCTATCTTGGTCACACCACATGCAGCCCTTACTGCACTTTTGTCTGCTTGCACCCATTCAGGCCGTTGTCCTGCACAGAGCTGTACAGCTGTGCACAGCTGTAGTCTAAAGATTAGCCAAGCCATTCAGTTGCAGGGCCAGCTTTTCTCAGTTAAGTTGCTGTTGGCATAGAGTTTCATTGTTTCCTGAGTAGTTTATGATTTGGGAATTTTGTGATACGCTGAGCGGATACAAAAGATACAGCAATGCCGAGATGGTGGGTTTGTGACTCTGATGTTCAGTACATTTTGAAATATCAAGTCGAACTACCAACATTTTTTAAGTTGGTTAAGAACCATTGTGAATAGCTGGTTCTTAATATGAATTAATGGACCAGCATTAATGGATATTTGTTAAATTTGTCATGCAGGGTAGATTTCTTTTTTTCCTTTTTATTTTGGTTTTTTTCTTTCCCTATTTCCCCATACGTTAGCTTGGTTATTTTTGTAAAGTAGTTGCAAAACTAGTTTCAACACCGACTGTAAGCGATCAGTCCTTTCTGTGGAGAGAAGATGATTCATTTCTTTGCTAAATGTAGGTCTGTGCCTCTCTCTTAAGCGCATTTCATTTAAGTGAAATAATGACTGAAGCAAAATAAGGCAGTATTCAGTTCTTGACCTAAAAGGTAATGGGATTTTTATGTGAAAACCCCCATGTCTCTTCCACCAGACTTTTCTTGAAGCACATGGCAAATCCAAAACATGGAACACAAGAGGAAAAAGTTGATCTTTGTTTTAAAGGTGACCTTTGGTAGATTTGACTAAGTGTACTTGTGTTGTCAAAATGTTATTGTAATAGTATAATGGATTTCAGAGTTGTTCAGCTGATTTATAACCTTCATTTTGCCTTTTGTAAAACTAGATTTGAGCTATTTTTTGTGTTTCTTGTATCCACGCTAGATCAAGACAAGGAGTCTCTGTAAACAGATGAAAGTATTTTTTTTGTTCTGCTTGGTATTGTGTGGCATCATGAAAAGTTAGCAGCTGGATTTATCCAACCCTGGATTAATTTTATTCATTGGACTCCAGTCCCTGCTGAGAACATTGCTGGCAACACAATACAAGCTGTTGGTCCTCATTGTTAGGGATTGGGTATGTAAAACTACTCTGGAAGACAACTGCAGATGAAAAAGAAAATTAATTCAGTGGCTCAAGCGTGCTAAACTGAATGGGTTTGCCTGGCCTATTTTTCTGTCCTGTGCTAAGATGAGGTGAAGTGCAGTGTTAGGACAGCCTGAACACTTCATTTTTGACAATGGGTAAAGCAAACAGGTGAGTTCCTACACTCAGCTTGCTGCCCAGCAGACTGGAGTCAGCCCGTTCATTTCTGTAATCAAACTTACATTTGCTGATGAAATGTAAGCCCCACAATAATTGCCTTAGTAATAAAAATAACAAAATATGTTTCTTCTGGAATACACCTTTTAATGGAGAAAATAATCATATTATCTCAGTGTCTTGCTATTCATTCTCTTAGATATATGTGTGTAACAGGACCAGGGATAAAAATGTTTGTAGCACAGCAGAGACTACATAAAAAAAAGTATTTTGTTCCAGGTCCTGTCCATGCTGCACTGTCCTGCATTGCCTACAGCAGGTCATAGTGGGTGGTTGGTAGAAGATGTGCCCTGTGGCTTAGGGTATTAGTTTAGTGCCTCTGCGCTGTTCTGATCTGGGTCAGCCCGTAGATTTGGCTTTCATGGATGTTTAAGCTTGAGACTAAAGTACTAGGGTTCTTGTCTGGGAACCATGAGTTACATCTTTAGAGGAAAAGAAGAAAAAAGTCATTAACTTTTACTTTGAATAGCCAGAAAACATGCATCAGTTCATGCAAGGAAATTGATTCATTTCTGTAGTAATGAAAGGTGGTTCAAGTCTGACCTGTTTGCAGAGCAACCCAGATCAAGAGTTAAGGCTCCAGTGGCATGTTTGCAAAGGAAAGAGATAAAAAGCCTAAAAGTGAACCAGGTCTTTTGGGGGCTGATTATTTCTCCTAGTATTTTTTTTTTCCAGATACAACAGTGGGTTTGCTGCACCTAGTCTTTCTCTTCACAATTTGCTGGAAAAAGTGATTGCAATCCTGGTTTTTTCCTTAAGAAAGGATTTATAAGGGGAGCACCACTTATTCCTTAATATTCAGCACCTATTTCAATGCTGACATCCACTACTGAACACATGGTGCCTAACTTTTTTGTCCTACTCTAACCTGTTCACACAAGTAGGTCCCATTGAGTAGGCCATATGTGAGTAGGATACATTGACTTACTCACAGGTAAAGTTAGGCATGTCTGCTTATTTTTTCCCGATGTGTTTGTAAATTATTGTTGGATTGCTCAGGGAAATAGGTTTTCTAAGGAAAACACTAAATTGAAATTGAGGCACTCTGTGGCTATGTACATTTTGAAGTTTTAAGCACAGAAAAAGCCAGGGAAAAAAAGGAGGGGTGGGCAAGACTTGCAGCTGACACTGAGTATAGGTCTTATAATGATAGGAAAAACAGGGAAGCCATTCCATGGGCACATAACCTGAGATGCAGTTGATGCCCCACCCTCCCAACTTCTCAATGTAACATTGCCCCAATAACACTTCTAAAAGCTGTTACATTAAGGTCTAAGTCCATTTGCAGATGAATGAGATGCATTTTCTGAAGCACCTTAAAAACTGTGGGTGGAGAAACTAGAGGCCTTAGTGCTGCAAGCAGGGCAGCAGTGCTATGTATGTGGTAATAGTATTCCCAAATACAGAGAAAGTCTCAAGCGGCTTATCATAGATCATCTTGCTGAAGATCTTGCAAGAATTCAGAGCTGCCCTACTTGATTCAGTGGTTTTCTTTTCCCTTTCTTTTTTCTTTTTAATATCAATATTTCTATGTGTGCACGTTATGTGTGTATATATGTATCCACACACTTGAAGAAAGGGAGTTTAAAAACTCAGTGGATTCTTTATCTTTTACAGAATATGGATGGGGAAATATTTAGATTAGCAAGAATGGACTATGTAGCTCTTCAGCTTTTTATCTGTCTAAATCTTAGAGTAAAAATGTTCTTTCCAAATCACATGAACCCCCAAGCACTGATACAGCCCACGTCACGGAAGAGACAGTGCCTGAATAAGGGCAGCAGTAGCTGTGCTGGGTCATTGCACAGTACATGAGACAAGCTCCAGCTCAGACTGAGACAGAGAAGGAAGGGTCAGCTCCAACCCAAATCAAGTAGGTTTGTTATATCTGGATGTATTAAATTCTTTTTTCAGATTTTGAAAGCCTTCCCAAAAGCTGAATTCCTGCACTTGATTAAAGAGCACTTACTCTTGTTACTAATGAACAGCATAACATTAACAGTTTGTGAATTACAAAATTTAAGGAAGAAGATGCACAGTGGATAATTTGTATTGTTTGTACTGTTGTCTCTATGTTCCTGTTTAGAAAGGGCAGTTTGAGTCAGGTTATGTAAAACCTCATACAAGCACAGTTCTTTGAACACTGTTAGAGGCAGAGTTTCATGGAAATAAAGTACTGGAAGGTGGGAATCCATCCCAGACTTTGGGCACCATTTGAAATATTTACATTGAGGAAGAATAATTTGAGTTATGGATTTTTTTTTCTTTTTGTTCTGAAGGCTTTTCTCCAGTCCATTTGAGAGCAGTCCCACTGAAGCTGTGTGCTTAGCTTACAGAATGTATTTCAAATTATTATTTTCTTTTTTTCTTTTGAACTTATTGAGCACTAGGACCTGGAAATATTGCTGTGGAGGAACATCCACAAATAGATAAATGGGCTGGGTCCCTGCTCGTGGATGGCTCTTACCAGTTAGCCAGAACTCACCCAGGTTTAATAAGGAGGTGTGGGAAGGATCACTTGGTGTTCCAGAGACGGGTGGGGTAAGAGAAGAACCTCAAACTTCCAAGGTACGTATAGTCTTGAAAGACTGTGATTTTGACTTTTGTTACAGTGTGTTGCAGGAGGCACAAGGGTTTGAAAAAGCCAAGTCAATGGAGTGTGCAGGAAGGGTGTTAGAGTGAGTTGGTGGTGTAAGGCTGACCTATACCAGCATTTTCCTGCTTTCTAGAAAGTGGGGAAGGTATTTCCAGTGGGGGAAGTGCATGAAAAGTGCATGTGAGAGTAGGTGAGGGGAATATTGGAATTGGAGTGTGGTAAATGTGGAAAAT